TAGATGTTACTAGTAATTTACTTAGTATATTAGATCTTCATAGCACATCAAATTTAGTGGAATTAAAATGTTCCAATAATCCCATTTCTAACTTGACTTTAGCACAATCACCTAAACTTGTTCTTTTTGATTGTTTGGGCGTTAGATTTGTTTCAACTCCCACTTCTTCCCCCTTGTCTCCCTCAACTTCTCTTTTTCCAACCGAAACAATCTGTACCAACAACTCACTCGGAAGCATTATTGGCCTGGGCGTCTATTCGGGAATATGCACGCTTAGTTTGCTAATCTTAGGTTTCATTTTCTTATATAAACGTTTCTTAGTAAAAAGTAGTATCCCAACTCCAGGTAGTTTTACCTAATTGATAATTTATAAGCTAAATTAGATTCCTTCTCTGTGTAATTCAAGTTAATAAATCTATCATTCTAATAATATGGGTTAGGTGCTGAGAAAAGAGACAAAATTTGCAAAAAAAGATCTTCGGAAAATTAATGTTTATATTATAAATCTAATAAGAAAATGCAAATTTTAAAGAGTTAAAATGCAAAATTTTATTAATATAACTATTTTTGTGATTTAAGTGAAAAATGATCCTAATCTTATTCTAAATTGATTTTATGCAAAAAAATTCTTTTGAAAAGAATTGTTAATGTTCCTTTTTCAGCACCTAGCCAATCTATATTCACAATAAATTATTTATTTTATACCTATTTAATTTTGCCCGATCTACTTTGCCATATATGTTCATTCGATATAATGGGCATTCTGCATTTAATGTAGTATAAGCAACATTTACTAAATATGGTTGGTAGTTTAACTGTTACATGTGCATGTACGTACTTGTACAAGTGCTTGTACATGTACTTGTTCATGCAAAGAAAAAGTATATTACTTCTAGAGAATGAAAAAAATAATAATTTTATCAAAGATCAAAAGAATACTCAACTTACGCTAGAACGAATTATTTTATTGCTTTTTATGGCCTCTTTGCCCTATAATTACATGTCACATTGTGAGTTATTTTTATTTTTTTGTTTTCTTTTCGTCGAATTTTTTATTCGTATGATGAATTAATGTAGCAAAGAATTTGAAGACCACTTCCAATTTAAATGACTATTGTCACTGGCAAAACCCTGTGCGGAACGATGCACGATTGACCTACGAATCGTTACGCAAAAGATCATTGTAATCCCCGGGACCAATGATTATCGAAAGACGATCATCTGCGACAAACCTGTTGAAGCCAATCCCCATCGAACAACCTCATTGAAAAAAAGACGCTTACCCGATTCGGGTTGACAGCTGTCAAGGTAATATTACCTTGTCGGGTTAAGTGTGTGATTGGAACATTTTAATTCCACTAAATTTGATGTGCTATGAAGATCTAATATACTAAGTAAATTACTAGTAACATCTA